GATTAAATTAAAAAATAAAAACCTATCAAATAAGGAAACCCTGTATAAAACAAAACAACAACCCCCCCCCAAAAAAAACAACCAAAAACAACCACATACAAAAAAACAAAAAAACCCAAAGAAATCAAAAACAACCAAAAGAAAACCACAACAAGGTCTTGTGTTTAACTCTCCAAGCCTCCCGTTGCCAAAACATAACAAACAACCAAAAACAACAACCGTCAATAATTTATTTAAAGAAGTACCAGCCATCCATGTCCAGGTGCTGTTTTAGACTAAAAAACAACAACCTTGACCTTGACCACCAATAATTTCTTTATAGAGGCACCACCCAGAAACAACAACTACAGCACGCGTCATCAAGCACAGAAAACGCGACCTAAAAAAATTACTCCACGCTTTTATATTATCTCTGGTCGGGCGCAAACCCACTGACCTAAAGCCTAAATAAAGGCGCAAACCTTTTCACAGACAAGCCTATCTCAGAATTCCCCACGTTTTATTGTGCATGAACGTCTGTTAGTCATTTCACCCGTGTGCAACCGTCAGATACATAACTGTATTTTTTCCTGTCATTCTGATCTCGAGGGGTTGTGATAACCTCCTTGATCAATCGTGTGGAAATAAATAATTATAAGTTGATTCGAATCGAAGTCGAGAAGGGTGGGGCCCAGTGCGGTCTAGGCAAGGAGATTAATTCTAAACTCCTTGGGTCTAGGTGATATAGTCGGCTCTCGTCTGACTGTGACCTATTTTAGGGAGTTGAACACAAGACCTTCCAGTACCAGATAAAAAAAGCTAAGTCTTGGCCACAGAATTCTCGTGATCTTGACCAAATTTGTGGAAATTCAGATTGCGAGTCTGAGATGTCCAACCATATCCTTCAACCTGAAACATCAACTCTACTTAACCATCATACACATGCTAATAATAATAGTGATAATAATAAGGGCCGATATATTAAAACAATGGGCAAATTAATGTTCAGGACTAAGAAGTCAGTTTTGTTACCAAAGAGGCGAACGCATAATATAATTGAACGAAGTACTGCTGGGAAGCCTCTAAGGAAGGTAAACATCCGTTTCTCCCCGACTGAAAAGAGTTGGGATTTTTTAAGTTAAAAGTTTACTCGCTTATTATTATTTACGGATTTAAATTTATTAAAGAGGGCGTTGCCCTTAATAGTCGACCGTGCGCCATGCATCGATGAGGTCATGTACTATTATATATTATATAGGTAAACATATGGTATATAAACGTATTTCTGAAGTAATTAAGAGTCTGATTTGGTGATGATGATGCATTGAGTTTGAGCTTGTTCAGGCACTCAGGCGTTAGTAAATAAAATACAAGGATGCTATTTTGTATAACATTGTTTCTGGCGATTGTTTTTAGGTGTGTAGAAAATGACTAAATATTATGAAAATTAAGTTTGAGTAAGTTAAGTAAGGCAATGGAAAATAATTACAGAAATTAATGATAGTAGTTAATAGACATTGGCTATGAGAGAGAGAGAGAGAGAGAGAGAGAAATATTCATATTGTTTGTGTATAATTTTCTGATTATAACATTTATTCTTTTATTGAACTAGATTTCTATTTCAGCTGGGCGTGCTAAAGATCTGGACAAGGTTGTAGCTCAGACGCTCGTGTGACAGTGCAGAGATGTTGGCCCTTTATATCCTTGTCGCTGTGACCTGTGTGCTGGTAGTCAAGTACCTACGTCACTTCCTGGAGCACAGACGGACATACAGCCAGCTGCCAGGGGACAATGACCTTCACTGGCTGCTCGGGAACATACACAAGGTCTGGAGAAAATTATTATAATAGCTGTTTGCAAGTATTGTCATGAATGCCTCATAAAAAAGATAATGTTCCAAAGATCTGGGCAGATGTATCATATAAAAAAAGCATATATAAACACCACAAACTGTTTTTAAAAGATTTTTTTTTAGTGTGTGAGAGTATATGTAGTGTCCTAATTTAAATTAACACAAACAGATTGTTTCTCAACAGAGTAGGGTGAAAAATACAAATATAAGGTGCAACTCTCTTTTTTTGTTTTTTTTGTTTTTGTAAAGTGTTTTACAGCGCTCACAACTGCATAGGTCATATGAGCGCGCGGGACACACCTAATATTTTCAGTTGGTAGGAAATTTTGAATTTTGCCCGGGTGGCGGCCGAAGCCTACTCTTATCGATTTTAGACCACCAAGGGATCTTTAACGTGCGCAACTTGCACACGGGCCCTCCGAAATTTTTCGCCCTTGTCCGAGAAGGCTAGGTGTAGATCTTTCCTACCAGAAGATCAGGGGTGGGGCAGAAAGACAGCAGTAAGGAGGAGCCAAGGAGTAGCAGTAGAAAGGCTGCAGAAAGAGTCAGGAGCCCAGAGGAGGGGGCAAAGGAGGTGAGGGGGTGGGGGCAGAAAGTGAAAATAAAGCAGACAACAGAACATTGCTAGAGAGCAGGAAAGGAGGTGAAAGGAGACAATTTTAGAGAAGAAAATTTTTTGGTCGCTACCCGGATTCGAACCCAGGACCTTTGAATGAGAGGCCAACACCTTAACCTCTAGGCCACGAGAGCCCCCTGCAACTCTCTGGCTGATGTGGTGCTTTTTATGTGCCACAACTTTTCAGACACATGTGACATCACCATTTTCTCAAACCTCCCCCTCCCCTCCCCTCCAGTCTCCTCCCCTCCCCTCCATTCACCTCCAGTCACTTCCCCTCTCCTCCCCTTCCGTCCCCTCCCATCCTCTCCCCTCCCCCAGCTCCCATCCCATCCCATCCTCTCCCCCCTCCCATCCCATCCCTTCCCATATCCCCTACCCTCCCCTTTAAGTTCTTGCCCTATCTTGAAAACAGTCACCTTTCATTTAATAAGATCTACTTTTAATAACTATAGAGATAATCTTCATGTCATTTATCAGGCACAGTACAGGCAGCTTTTTTCTTTCAAGGGGCACAACAATGTTAAATGCACACATACAGTTACCGCCCCTTATATAGCAAAATGTTGCCCCTGAGTTTGTTTTCACGAGTGGAGGAAAGAAAATGCACAGAGAGCAGAATATTTTTCTCAGGCAGTACATTTATTCCTTTTGAGTGGAAGCAGATGCTCGTCAGTTTTGGGGCCTATGGAGTTATTGGTGTATCATCTTAAAGCTTGTTCATTTGTCTTGCCTTCAATGGAAAAAATACCCAATTTATCTGGAATAGAAGTTGAGATATTTGTGATTGACGAAGGTGGACGTCACATGGCTCCAGAGGTAAAATTACCAAGAAAATGTCTGCCAAAGAAATGTAATTTCCATAGCTTGAGAGTCCTTGGAAGCTGAAAGTTGACATCTTTTATGCCTCTAATTTAGTGGACGTTTTTAGTAAAATCAACACAGAAAATATTTTTCTATGGTCATAAAATTAAAAGGTGTTGAGCCAAAAAACAAAAATTTGACCAAATTGCTGAACCGGGGGAAAAATATTGGTCCAGTTTCTTTGATTGCATTATTTTGACCAGCACCTGGTTTCATCATGATGACTCACAATTATTCTTTTTGTTGCCATATATATAATATGTCAAATTAGATCTGTGTTGGAATTTTTCACTTTCAAGTAGACCACTTAATTCAATCTAAAGCAAAAATCCTTTAGGTTTTTTAGACTTTTGTTTATTTTGTCGCTTTCTGTCTCACAGACACATTTTGTTACCTAATGTTCTTTTTTTTATCAATAGTTAATCAACACCATCTAACCTATCTTTATATTCTCTGAACAGTACCCAGGTTTCAATGAAGCAGGGTTGAAATTTGACTTTGGCAAGTCAGAGGAGTTCAAATATTTTCATCGCATTTGGGTCGGCCCGTTCCTGGCAGTTATCCAATGCTACCATCCTGAGTCAATCAGAAAAGTGATCAACTCATCAGGTGGGCTGTTCATCCGTCTGTCTGCTCATCTATCTATGTACAGGTCGTTGTAGTTAGTGTTTGATTATCAGTCAGTCTGCCCATCTGTCTATGTTCAGGTCCTTCTAGTTAGTGTTTGTTTATGTGTCATTCTGCTCATCTGTCTATGTACAGGTCCTTCTAGTTAGTGTTTGTTTATCTGTCATTCTGCCCATCTGTCTATGTAATGGTCCTTCTAGTTACTGTTTGTTTATTTGTCAGTCCATTCATTTGTCTATGTAGATGTTATTGTGGTCAGTGTCTGTTTATCTGTTTTATGGTCCGTGGCTGTAACTGTGTGTAGATAGCTTAATGTGTTGACCCCTTTGTCTTTTAATTTTTGTCTCTGTATGTAACTTTTTATTCATCTCAAATATGTCTGACCGTCAATACGTTGGTTTGTCTGTCTGTCTGTCTGTCCTGTCTGTTTGTCTGTCTGTCTATTTATCTTTATCCCAATCTATCCTGCTGATACATTGTTTCTGCCTGTCTTACCTGATAGCATGATACTCCTTAAGTCTCTTAATGATACCAGGGTCTTCAAACAAGTGAATGGGGGCTTTCATGGTCTAGAGGATAAGGTATTGGCCTCTCATTCAATAGGTCCGGGGTTCGAATGCGGATAGTGGTGTAAAATTTTCTTATCTAAAATTTTCTCCTTTCACCTCCTTTCCTGTTCTCTAAAAATGTTCTGTCGTCTGCTTTTGTCTCCACTTTCTGCCCCCACCCCCCTCACCTCCTTTGCCCCCTCCTGTGGGCTCCTGACTCTTTCTACAGCTTTTCTACTGTTTCTCCTTGGCTTCTTCTTTCTGCTGTCTTTCAGCCACACCCATGATCTTATGGTAGGTAAGATCTACACTTAGCCTTCTCGGACAAGGGTGAAAAGTCTTGGAGGTCCTGTGTGCATGTTGCACACTTTAAAAATCTCTTGGGGATCCAAAATCGATAAGAGTAGGCTTTGGCCGACACTCTGGCAAAATTTAAAATTTCCTACCAACTGAAAAATGTTTGGTGTGGCTGTGCGCTCATATGACCTTATGCAGTTGCGAGCACAGTAAAACACGTACTCCCCCCAAAAACCAAGTAAATGCAGCATTTTCCTCTCTTTTTAAGATCATTAATGGATCAAACATGCCTTAGAATTAGCTCTGTTGAATACAGTATTTGATAGCAATGCTTCAGGTATGTCCTGGTGTTTTATGATGTAACACCTCTTTCAGCAGTGTAAAGTTATTTAAGGGATTATGATTTATACACTCTCAAAATACGCACAAAATGATGTACAAGAGCTATTTTTGAAGGTAGACAGGCAGTTTAGACAAGATAGCTGCAGGTTGCGCTTTGTATAAATTTGTTTTCAGACAGGGATTTTTGTTTTCCAGAATTCGAGAGAATAAGAAACGCGAAGTGAGCCCCGCAAATCCTTAACATTTTGGTTTCTGCTGTAAACTCCTGCCCCTACCTCATCCCCTACTATCCTTTTCTGCCTTTTAACCCCTTCGGTGCTGAGTAGATGTATGGACCTGCTTGCATTCTCCAAAACCTGACATTCTTTCTTCTGGTTTGCAGAGGGAATTTTTGTTTGCACAGGTACTGCTTGAGCAGTTGCTTATTCTTAAAGAAGGGGAAGATGTGGCTTTGAGCTTTGAACTTGAATCTCTTGAGTGAACATTTTTCTTGTGTCTGTACAAATTGAGTTACAAAGGTCTATCTGACTTTTGGCCGTTTTGAGTTACTAAGACCATGAGGTCAGAAAACAAATGCTCTATCTGCTCTATCTAAATTGTAAGAACACTCAGAGTCGTTGTCAAGATATTAAAAGTATTGTACTTGAACTTGCTTGACATATTGTGAAGCTAAAAAATTTTGACATTAAATTTCTCAAAACTAGGTACTGAGCAGATAGAACTTTGTAATTCTGAGGTAGAGAAATGTAGATGGAAATGTCTCAGAAGGGAAAGGGATCCAGTCCCTGTACCTTACCAGTTTCCTGTTTGGTTTTTGTATTTTTCCAGCCCCCAAGCCAAGAAACCTCAGCCTTTTCTCCTCCAGTTATGACATGGGTGTGAGCTGGCTGGGTGAGGGTTTGATTCTCACCAATGGGGCCCGATGGAGCCGCAACCGCCGTTTGCTCACTCCGGCTTTTCATTTTGACATCTTGAAGAACTACATGAAGGTGTACAACTCATGCGTGTCTTTAATGCAGGTGAGACAAGAAAGGTATAAATGGCATGTTGTGAATATAGATGGAAAAACAACTGCTTTGCTGGTAGCTGAACGAAATTGAGGAGGTGGGGGTGGAGGAGGAGGAGGGGGGATGGAAGAGAGGCGGTGGAGGAGGGGATGGGGTGGGTGTGTCATATTCTATTGGTTATTCATTGATGATGATATTGTCAGTGTGATGGTTCGTATTGATGCTGACATACAACTGTTGCAAATGACAATATGATGGTTTGTATTTTTGTTGACATTGTTGATGATGTCGCTAGTGTTGCAGCTTCGGACTGAAGTGTCTTTAGGCCATTCCCAAAGGGGGGACATTAACCTGTTCTTATGCACAGTAGAGTTGTAAATGGGCTGATTCATCGATGTCATGCTCACATAACTGCCTGAACTGCAGCAAGGAACTGCTTTTTCTTTCCTAATTCTTACTATCGTCATTTTCCTCTACTTCTTTTGTATGTTTGTCTCCTTCTTGTGACCCGCTATTTCTGGGGTGCTTTGATAGCAGACTTTGTGCTGTCGAAGCTAGAGAGGTGAGCAGAGTAAGCCTGATTCCCTGTAAGGGCTTCTCTGTTTACAAACACCCCTTGGCGCTCATATGACCTTATGTAGTTGCGAGCGCTGCAAAACCTCTACTAAAACTAAATTAAAAGCAGCTCCGGCCTCATCTTACAGGCTGGCCTCTACCCTCCCCTCTGGTAAAGTTACTGTTATTCATTCTCCTTCAGTGGTTGGCAGATGCTCGGGTGTGGTTTGTTCCTTCTTTCCTATCAAACATATATCATCTAATAAATCTCTTCTCCTTTTCTTTGTATGTTACTCTCCGGTGACATGTCTAATCTTTGGCACTTATAATATATGATCTATTTGTGTTGCAAGTTCTGAAAAACTCTTACTACAACTTAAAAACAAACAGAACCAACCCAGTACGCCACTCTGACACATGTACACAAAACTCTTAGCATAGAGAAAATATTTATGTCACGACGTGGTGGAATCAGGCGTTAATTAACTTTTTGGGCATGTGCGGTTATTGGTATCATTATAAAGCTTGTTCTTTTGTCTATCTGTGGATGAAAAAAATACCCATCTATCTAGAACAGAATCTGTTATATTTGCAATTGAAGGAGGTGGGTTCGCCTGGTTTTAGATGTGAAATGAGTGAAAAAATGGCCACCACAGTTCGGTGACTTCCATAGTTTGATAGTCCTTGGAACTAAATATTTACATTTTTTGCGACTTTAGTCGACACTTTTCTGTAAAATCAATACCTAAATGTTTTTGAAAGTACATAAAAGGTGTTAAGCCTAAAAACAAAAAAATTGATAAAAATTGCTAAACTGGCAGATATATACCGACGTCTTCGATTTTATTGTTTTGACGAGCACCTGATTTCACCACGATGCCTCACATTTACTGCCATACTGTTTTCTATTCTGTGTGTGAACTGACCTGTTGTCAGCTTTCCCTAATTTTTTTCCTCCAGGGACAAATTCTTGAGGCCTCCAAAGCAGGAAAAAGTTTCGACCTTCAGTCTCTTGTGCACAAATGCACCCTCGATGTTATCCTTTGCTGTGCCTTTTCCTACCAGTCGAACTGCCAGACAGAAGAGTATGTTTTCTTTGTGTTTTCTTTTTTCATTGAATTATTTCTGAAAATTTTAAAATGTTGTACTATATACTAAACTTTTGCTTTACTTTTCCGATCCAGCGACCGTCTGAGTTCTTTGCCATATTGACCTACTATATTCAAATGAGTCCTTTCAAAGCCCAAATTGGAGTGATAGTCCTCGGGCTATGAGGAAATTCTTTAGAAAGAACAAAGGAAAACTCAGGCTCATCTCTGTATGAACTTCACGTTTTCTCATTGATTCAGGGTTTGTAACCAACATCACCCCATTAGTCAGCCTCATTTGAACGAGGAGTATATATGGTGGACAATGAGGTCCTTCAATTGATGAATTTTACCATTCCATGCAGAAGAAAAAAAATGAAAAGAAGTGAGACAGAAAAATAGATTAAAAAAAACTTTTCCTGTCTTTTATGCTGCTTGCCGCTGAATCAAGTTCCTAACAAACTTCAGTTTATTTTTTTACTCTTGTCCAGTAAAACTTTTGCTAGAGGAACACGGCACATGAGCTTGTTCATCTTATCGCTCATGGCTGGATAAGTAGGGGATATTCTTAAGACGCTGCATTAACAGTGAACAGCGACTGATATTGAAAACTTTTGAGTGGTTTGTTTATCTGTCATTCTTATTTTTCTTCTTATATCCATGGAATAAAGAAAAATGTTGTCCTTTAACTTAAAGTTTTTCCCACAACCATGTTGTTTGTGTAGTTGATGGCTCAACTAGACGCAATGTAAAACTGAAATTGTCTAAGACGGCCATTAATTGTTGAGTAGAAAATAGACAGTTAGATGTCATGGATTGTGCCATTATTCAATTGTACAGAAAAACATGAGCGGGGAAGTGGAAAGTGGTAGTTTATACAGGTGGTTGTTTTGGACAGGTAGCCAATGGAGCAGGTCTGACTTTGTCTGGATCCTAGAGTTGGGTCGGGCTCGCTAAGTCAGCGTCCGCAAGTAACAAACGGTTCACTGGTACATCTCGCAAACGAGCGGGCAGGTAATGAGCGTCCGCTAGTGAAGATTCGTTCACTACTCGGTACCCATTGGACGCGGAGACAACAGTTCGTTTAGTGAGCGGGCGGACAGACAGATGGACTTGGAGAATCCATGCATCCCCCC